GCTGTTATATCAAGTAGTCCACCAATATCAACTGTAGCAGATGTGATGTCAAGCAGTACACCAATACCAACTGTAGCAGATGTGATGTCAAGTAGTGCACCAATATCAACTGAAGCAGATGTGATACCAAGTAGTGCAAACGTATCAACTGTAGTGCATGTGATGGCAGGTAATACACCAATATCAATTGTAGCAGATACGATATCAAAGAGTATACCAATATCTACTGTAGCAAATGTGATATCAAGCAACACACCAATTCCAACTGTAGCAGGTGTAATGTCAAGCAGTACACCAATATCAACTGTAGTGGATGTGATGTCAAGTAGTACACCAATATCAACTGTATCAGATGTGATGTCAAGTAGTGCACCAATATCAACTGTAGCAAATGTGATGTCAAACAGCACACCAATATCAACTCTAGCAGATGTGATGTCAAATAGTACACCAATATCAACTGTAGTGGATATGATATCAGACTGTTCAGCAATATCAACTGTAGCAGGTGTTGTATCAAGTTGTGTCAAAAGTGTGAAAACTAAGAAACGTAAATGGATTGATGATCAAAAAACAGATGTAACAGATGCATATGCAGTGAATGCTAACAGTTTGCAGTCAGTACAAAACAAATATTACAACTCAGTAAATACTACTGGCAATATTAAAACATTGAAGATTGACGAAAATATTTTGGCTAAATTAGTCAAGCCAGAAACAAACTTCACACCATTAACTTATCTTAAACAGGAATGTTGCACCAAAAGAAAATTAAATCCAACATTTGAAACAATTATGAAAGGTCATGAAGATGAATGTGTTGTAACAGTGATTGCGGCTGATGTCTGTGGAAAGGGTGAAGGAAAAAATAAGTTTCTTGCAGTCCAGGCCGCTGCCCTAAGTGCATTAATTGCTATGGACTGTAATCCATGGTCAGGAATGGACATCATGAAACTCACACAAACTGTCCACACACAGCCACTCGCAAATGAGACGAGTTTGCCAGCTACAGTAATAGCCACTAAGATAAACACAAATTCATCTGCCAATTCATTAGCCAAAGTAGACACAACTTGTGGAAAGAAAAACTCAAGTGCAGCTACTGAGAAAAACTCCAGTTCAAGCAAACATTTGAAAAACGTTGTCACATCAAGTAGAAAAGAAACGTCAATTACAGCTAGTGAAATATCAAATACACTTGATGTAAATAAATTCATGGATTCCCAAAATGACAGTTCAGTTCAACTGAATGCTAGGACACCACTATTACATTGTAGCGTATGTGTTATTAAACTTGTCTCTATGGACAAAATAGTTAAACATCATGTCAAAAGACTTTCCCCAGTAGATGCCTTAAGAAATCAATGTGCCATGTTGGAAATAGCACCTACATATCATGAAGCATCAAGGGAAAATGATGAATGGGTTGTGCGTGTCACTGCAGGGAAGTACGATGGAGAAGGTAAAGCTAAACGTAAAAATTTTGCCAAACTCGCAGCGGCAATAAGCATTTTGGATGCAATGCAATGTAATCCTTGGTCAGATATGAAATGGTTGACTTACGTTAAAAGTGAAGGCAAAGCAGAAGATGGAATGGTTATAACTAGTGGAAAAGAAACTCCAAATACAGCTAATGAGATGAAATCCGATACGAGCAAAGATGAAAAGAAACCCTCAGTTATAGCCAATTGGGAGAATGCCATTCTCAGACACAGACATGATATCCACAAGCATGGTAGAGTATGTAATTTGAAAAATACTTCCGTTGCACATCTAGTCACTGATCGTATAAAACATCATCCTATTGAAGCCCTTGAAATTGAATGTGCCACATTAGAAGTAGCCCCAGTATTTCAGGAAGCAAAAGAAACTGAATGGATTGTGTATGGAACAGCTGGAAATTACTCTGGAGAAGGTAGAGCAAGAAATAAGAGAGTTGCCAAACAGGCATCTGCAATTAGTATCTTAGATGCAATGAATTGTAATCCATGGTCAGACACAAAGTACATGGTAAACATGGATTCTAGGCTTAAGAATTCTGACAGAAGTGAAAATATGAAAGATATATGTGGATCAAAGTCTGTTTTGACTGAAAAAGCTTGCATGGATGGACTTCATGACAAAAGTGAAAAGAAAGTTGTTCCGCGTGAAAAACTTGCGTCTGCCAGAAACCTGATGAAAGAATCGGATACAGTTACCGGTATGTCAATTCAAACCTCCAGTAGGAGGGCTTGTGAACATGCTGATGATTTAAAAAAAGTACACACTGCTACCAAGGGTACTCTCATTAAAACTGATCTCCCTGATATATTAGTTCAGACCCCTAGTAGGCCTCTCAGAGCACATGGAAATACTGATGATTTAAAAGAAACAGACACTGTTACCAAAGCCACATCTTTTAAAACTGAGCACACTGATATTCAAACCCCCAGCAAGTGTCTCCGGGCTCGTGGAAATGCTTGTGATTTAAAAGAAACAAGCACTGTTACCAAAACCACATCTTTAAAAGCTGAGCACACTGATATTCAAACCCCCAGTAATTGTCTCGGGGCTTGTGGAAATACTTGTGATTTTAAAGAAACAGGCACTGTTACCAAAGCCACATCTTTTAGGACTGAGCACACTGATACATTAGTTCAAACACCCAGAAGGAATCCTACCCCTTTTCCTACTGCTGGTGATGTAAACACTCATGCCAGTGATCCTTCCTTTGATGATTTTCAAACTGTGTGGAATACCCCAAAATCTCATAAAAAGGATTTCTCCCCTGCTCAAATGAAAAGACCAACATCAAAAGCTCAGGATGTTGCATATTACACTGATATTCATAGTCCTTGTTCAAAACTAACTGATAGTCTGCCTCTTATCAATGTAGACAAAGAATTGGCTGTTATAGTGGAAGAAAATAAAATGTATATAGAAGATGAGATTAGGGACCATGATTACAGGGTTGACCATGTTAAAGAAGAGGAGCATGATTTACCAACACTTAAACCAGCCTATCTTGATACCATTGATAGTTGGAAAACAAAATCCATCACACCACTTAAAGCACTCAAGGATTCTACAGTTAAAAGTGAAATGAGTCCATCCGCTGTTAAGCCAGCAATGCCTGAAGCTTGCAGTGAGGGACATGAGCCCATTTTACCATTGAAGAATACCACTCCAGTGGTGTCAGCAGCACATCCTTTGCTTCAACGTCCACCTTCATGTGTTTCCAACATTTGGCCTATTCCATCTTGGGCTCACCCTGCCCCATCAAACCTATTTCCTCAGATTTCTCCACCACCATCTTGGTCCCTTCGAACATCACTGCCACCACAGCTGCAATATGTGTGTAAAAATATACAGAACCCAACACCCTCTCCTGCTGTGGATGATTATAAAGTAAATCTGCCAACACCTCCATTGCTTGAAAATCCCCCATTACCAAAACAAGGAAATAGTTCTGTGGATTCCAGTAACATTAGTATATATGGGGATGTAGATATAAAACAAATACAAGATGTTTTGAAGACAGTGTCGGACCTAGATGAGAATGTCCGTGACATACCCTTGCCAAGTTATGACCCATGTACTCTATCTAATAAAAAGAAAGTCCGAATAATTGGACCATTGAGGAAAACTGATGTACAAAAGGTGTTACCAAAGGATACACTGATGAGAACTCCAGATCAACCAAAGTCACAATTCCAAGCACCAATGCTTGTGGACTCTAGCAACATGGATAGGTTTGAAGATGCTTTGAAGACAGTGTCAGACTTGGATAACAATATCAGTAGCATACCCTTGCCAAATTATGACCCATGTACCATATCTGGCAAAAAGAAAGTCAGAAAGCTTGAATCCTTGAGTAAAACTGATGAACAAAAGGTGTTACCAAAAGATACACTGATGAGAACTCCAGATAAACCAAAGTCACAATTTCAAGCACCTATGCCTTTGGAAAAGCTTCTAGCTCATACTATGTGTCAGTTCAATAAATCCTCTGTTAAAATAAATCACAAAGATATTGATAATGCCATAAATAATGAGGATCACAACACAGACATTGAGGCAAAATCCAGCACTCCAGATTCAGATACCAATAGAGAAAATGATGACTCTGCTGCAAATGAAACTTTGGCAACAACACCCAAAGAACATATAATAAAATCTACAAGCAAAACTGTCTCAAATGAAGTACTTGCATCTGTCCTTAAAGACACTGTAGCAGAATTAAATGAATCAATAACAAAACATAAGCAAAGGGATGCCCAAACAAATAATGACAAGGAAATATGTGATATTGACTGTGCTGAGGCCAAAGTAGTAAAGGATGAAAGATCAAGCTGTTTAAAAGAAATAAAACCCGAAAAACTTAATCTAAAGCTAACAAAGCCTTTACCAAAAGGCTGTAGAATAAAAAAAGCAGGCATGCCAAAAATGTTATCTGACAAAATGGTGTTTGGACCACGGCCAAGTATGAGTAGCATGTTTATGAATATACTCAATACTAACAGTAGCAAAGATGACAAAAGTTCTGATTTTGGAGAGCTAGAAGATGATACAATGGATAGTGATAACAAAGAAAGTGATGCTCCAATTGGTGATATCAAACTTAAATTTACAGTTCAAATTGACACAAGGAAAGGAGCCAAAGAAGTGAAGGAATTGCCAGAGAAGGAAGATAAATCATCTGAAATTAAAACAGATGTTCCAGATGAAGAGAAGACAAATTTGGATTGTGTTAATGCAGATGTACCCACAACATCAAACCACATAGATAAGAATGAGTCCGCATTAATCACGCCTGAAAGCACTATTGATTCTAACAAGCAAATTGAGGATGTATGTGCCACTCCTGGTGAATCTAAATCAAAGGAGATTGTTACACAGAAGAATAGTTCCCCCAAACAAATTGAAGATGTATGTCCCACTCCTGGTGAATCTAAATCAAATGAGATTGTTACACAGAAGAATAGTGCCCCCATACAAATTGGGGATGTATGTGCCACTACTGGTGAATCAAAATCAAAGGAGATTGTTACACAGAAGAATAGTTCCCCCAAACAAATTGAGGATGTATGTGCCACTACTGCTGAATCTAAACCAAAGGAGATTGTTGCACTTAAGAATAATCCTTCTCTTGGAATGTCTTTGTTGGCTGAATGTGTGAATACACTGAGTCCAGATGAGAACAAAAGGAAAAGCTTTGAAGACATGCTTAACCGATCAACATTGTATGAGACTGAAGAGTCTTTAAAATATGACAAATACATGTCAAAGGATGAAGATAAAACCCTTGAGGAAGAAATAATCCCACAATTGATAACCACATCACATTTCGGGAACCAATCATGTTTGAAAAAGTTCAATAAGGGTCAATTAAAAGGGGTGTTTAAGAGAAATATAATGCAAACTATTGGGTCAATGCCCTGGTTAAGGGCAACTCAAAAGAGGCTGAAGAAAGGTTATTGGGCATCTCCCACTCAAAATCCAGTTCATCCAAATGAAGGTAGTAATTATGAACCATTGGGAGTCCGAACACCTGGAAGTACTGCTTTTAAATCCCTTATGTCATCCACTAACACAGTACATGGGAAAACAATAAATGATGAGAACATACCCGTAGCAGAAATCAAAACTGCTTTAATACATTGTCCTGTAAGAAAGGAAACCAACACTCCTCAAGGTAGAGTTATTAATAAGGGACTGAAGCGTAGGAAAAGCACCCAGTCAAGGTCACATTCAAGAAACAGATCCAGAAGTAGATCAACAAGTGGCACTTACAAGAAAAGAAGAATATACAGCAGATCAGCATCAAGGTCTTGTAGTAGAAGACGATCAAATAGTAGAGAAAGTTCAAGATCTTATAGAAGAAAACGATCCAGGTATCATAGAAGAGAAAGATCCTGGTCTCGAGGCAGAAAGAGATGGTGGTCTTCTGATAGGGAAAGACCAAGGTCATTTGTCTATGGAAGATCAAGAAGTAGAACAAGATACAGTAGAAGTAGATCATATAGCAGTACCAGATCAGGTTCATATGGAAGAAGATGGTCTCCAAGTTCTCCAAGGTATAGTAGCAGAGGGAAATCTAGATCATATTCCAGGAGCAGATCTCGATCTAGAAAGCAATCAAAACTTTATCAGTCAAGGTCTAGGTCGTACAGAAGATCCTACAGTAGAGAAAGACTGTCACACATCAAGAAAAGTCGAAGGCCCTCGAGATACAGTTCCAGATCTTATAGTAGAGAAAGATCATTGTCTTCCAGCAGGTATCGCTCTAGAGGAAGATCTTCAAGTAATGAAAGACAAAACAGAAAAGGAAGGTATAGATCACTATCATTTGTTAGATCTCCTTATGGTTCAGGCAGAAATGTATTCAGGGAAAGAAGTAGATCTGATGACAGACCTTCAAGACAAAAGAAAAGAAGCAGAACATTGTCTAACAGATACAGATCAGCATCTTCCAGTAGTGGACGATCAGGATCAAGAAAGAGATCAAGATCGAGGAGCATATCATCAAGATCGACATCATGTGATAGAGTGGAGATGACTAAGAAGAAGTGGTCTTGTAGAAAAAGATCAAGGTCAAGCAACAGAGAAGAGTCCAGGCTGTACAGAATGAAAAGGTCAAGGTCTAGAAGTCTGAGTGAAGAAACACACAAAGAAAGGGGTACACTTCAAGGAAGCACATCAAGCGAAGACAGAGAAATACCTTTCGAGCAATTCATACATTTGCCGAGAAAACTAGATGCTATATCACAGCAGAGATATGGGAAATGGAACATCTTAAATGTACACAATGATGAACCTGACTCTAGTCCTGACTTTACAACCAGAACAATTAAACCGATAGAGAGACAACTCATCCAGATAAATGTACCAGTCATGAATGATGAAAATGAAAAGGCTGACTTATTCAATGATGTTTCATTGAAAGATCCTCCAGAGCCTCAAAGAAAGAATATTGGAAATATAACTGGCAAACAAATTATTGACAATGATTATTACACATATTTTGAGAATTCATCAGAATGTGAGAACAGTGTAGACATCTGCGCTTCAGTAAAACATTCCGACATGGTCACCAAGAGCTCAGATGTCTTGGATAGGGCTGCCAATAGCTCGGATCCATCAACCACAACTTCAGAAGTTGATGCCAAAAGCTCGGAAGTAAGGAGTATAGAAGTGCTTATCTCAGCACCAAGCAGATGCATGGGAGAAAAAGGTAAGACCCCCAATAGTTTATAACATTTGAAAAATATAAATTATGTATCGTTGAATAAATGAACACAAGATGCATTAAAATCATCATGAGAAAGCATTGTTAGAAAAAACAAATCACTTGAATTCTGTTTGAAACCATGTTAAAAATTTTTTCTATTATAATTTTTCCATCTTTTATTACAGCTATACGAATATATCAGTAAGATTCTTATTGTAATTTTTTGCCTACCATACGATTGTTGTGTTGATACTGGCTTGGTGTTGGGGAGGAGCTTTGCTTTTACACTACCTCTTATTATCAGACTATTTCTGGCTATTTTGTTTTACATAGACTTCACTGTTAGCTTCATTCAAGATGGTTGCCGAGATTCTTTCATTTTTCGATAAACCTCAGATTTCAGCTAACTAAGTTTCGCCATGCAAATTAATAAAATATGATTGTATTCAAACACAAATGAATGTCCAAACACCCGCAATATTAGAGAATTTTAAGAAAACGGCTTCACTTAGAATGACTCTTACTGAAGTTGATGATCTACGTCATCATAACGTCATCATTAACTTCAGTTAAAGCCATTTTCTTTAAAATTCTCCAATATTGCGGTTGGTTGAGCATCTATATGTGTTTCTTTTACCATCGTAGCTTCATTGAGTCACATGGCGAAACATTTGGCATCCAGATTCAACTTAGTTAAGCTGAAATCGGGGGTTTATCGAAAACGAAAGAATTTCGGCAACCATCTTGAATGAAGCTAACTGTAGTTAGAGTCATCCAGCTGTGGAACAGTGGACTTGTGACAAATGATGATATTGTATTACAGGACTAGATATAGAACCAAACATCAGTTGAAAGTGAAAACAATGTACTTTAAATATGTGATGTTGTCATTCATTTGTCATTGATGTTTAAACTTCAATCGCCTACAATAGAGATTTCTGTTCTGCTTAAAACTACCAAAAGAGGTGTATCTGAGTGTAAGCTTATACATTGTGTCTTGCCTTGCTTTGCTGTGATGTGATGTGCTTTCCCTCTTTATTATGGGGCTTAAAACTTATTAACTTTCACACAGGCTGCTTGAGGCTCATTCATATTTCTGTGTTGTGTTGTCCCCGCATTGTACTTTATGTCTTAATGTATATATACTGTATAATTTGCCTCTAGTTCTCTAAAAAGTATTAGTATCTATCACTGGAATTATAGATAAATAAAATAACTATGAATAATAGTTTTATTTGAATAAGAAAATGTTTGAAAACTTCTGAAAAAGTTTTCCAATTAAAAAATTCAAGTACAAACAATTTCAGTTCTCTCTCAGTCTTAATCATAAAGATATACAGTGAAACATATCAAGTGGAACATCTCAAGAAGTAGAACACTTTTCAGAGTCTCAAGACCACCTTAATGTTAAGTGAACCTCTATAAGTGGAACACCTCCCAAGTGGAACACTTTAGAGGTACCAAAGATGTTCCACTTAGACAGGTTTTACTGTATTGAAATTCTATAAATTCTCTCGGGTCTTATTACTTCCAGAGCATGTATAGTGCTATGTATATGGGCCCTTTTAATACCTTTATCATATTTGTTTGTTTACGATTTGATTATGATCTTGCTTTGAGGAATGGTTCAAATATTTATTTAATTGATTGGCGATTTTTTATGATATGTTCTAGTAATAAAGCTGACATTATATACTTGATAGAAAGCTCAGTTGAAATATCACACTCTCTCAAATAAAATATTATCACAATGTCCCGTATAAATGACATTGAATAGCATTAATCAATGTAACAATAACATGGTTGTTGTTTGAATGAGAGCTTTCCTGATCCTAGCATGTTTTGATTAAATGAATCTTTGTGAAATATTTTCTGAGGGTAAATATAGAATATGTGGGTGTGTATTTAGCCTCTGTTACCCCCTCCCCCTCTTCTTGACTAAAAACCTTCTCACACACTTGTTGTAGTGGGGGAGGGGTCGTCACAAGGGTTTGGAGCTAGACTAGTATTGTATTGTATTCTTTATTTACCTCTTATATAAGAGAGTTACAATTGTACATTAATTGGAAGTAATACATAAATAAGAAAATAGATAAATTATTTGCTCATGTTTATGAAATGATCGAAGTTGCGAGCGTTGCTTGTCTCTTGATATACATTGAATGAATTATTAAGACAGCTTGCAATGCAAGATCGTCGTTTGTACAATTTAAGATCAGATTGATGCGATCTTTAACACTACTTGTATCGTTATATTTATAGATTTCGTAAAGTGCTAACCTTTCTTCAACATACAACTCGCAATGGCAGAGAAAATGTTCGATTGATTCAATTTCATTTAAGTTGCAGACATTGCACAATCGACCATTTTCTTTTGAGATATCCCACTTTTTGTGACCGTTTAGACCTAATTGACCAGTCATTAACTTCACAACAGTTGTAAATTGTTTTTTCAATCGTGGCATCCTTTGACACAAAACATACCAGCTATTTGGAATTAGACATGAGTGACCATTGATAAAATAAGATAAACCTTCGTATAACATGCATCTTATTCGAAACATTGATTCTTGTAGGTCTCGAATTCGACATTTTACTAGACGTTTCCAGCTACTTTTGGAGATCATTTGTCCATCTAACATTAGTTTTACAATTTCCGAAAGATCGTATTTCCTGGCCGTGCACCACATATGTGCGATGGGGGATGACATTTTAATTCCTTTAAAGTCAAATTCCATAAGTGTCATTCGTAAAATCAACAGTCTTTTGTATATGTTGTTGCAAGGCAAACTCAGTAACATCCATATGAACATTAGTTTTGCTGTATCGATCTGGTATTCTATACCTTCCCATCCAAGTGGCTCGTAGGCTACAGGGCATTCCGCCCATTCGGGAAAGGATTGTATTTTCCTGCCAATTTTTCGCTGCGCCGTTTCGAGTTTATTGATATCTTTTGATGAATAAGGGATAACGCTAGCACCATACGTCATTGATGGGGTGGCGAAAGTGTTATAAAGCTTCGACAGGGTTAAAGGTCGCATACCACCGACTCCCGATCCGAGGCCTAGTAGTGAATAATACTTTCTACAGCCCTTAGAAAGACTGTCTTCAATGTATTCGGTAATGTTACCAGAGACCGATAGCGGAATTCCAACATGTATTGTAGTGTTTACTGTCTCAATAGGAGTGCCATTTATTTTCACAATATTCTGGGTGGGTTGACAGTTTGCAGCTCTACTTTTCTTTCCGAACTTAAGAGTCTTGCATTTTCCTTTGTGAATGTCGTATCGCCATTTTACACTGTGGTCATAGACTGCGTTAAGTAGAATGTTCATGTTATCGAGTTCAGTGGAAATTAAAACCATGTCATCGGCGTAAGTAGGGCAAGTGACATCAATGTCGCCGATCGATGCGCCGAGTTTCATCCTTTGAAGATCACGTATTATGTCAGCGTTAAAGATTTGGTACAATATCATACTATATACCCCGCCTTGATGAACGCCACGTTTTACGTCAAATGTCTGTGATAAAATATTGCCAATTCGAACTACGCACTGATACGTTTTGTAGGAGTTGTACAAAATGCGCCATAATTTTGCGTTAACGCCGAGTATATACAGTTTGTAGAAGAGTCCTTCAATAAAAACGCCATCGAAGGCTTTACGTACGTCTAACGTCGTTACGTAAACGTCACGTCCTTTTTCAACGTTGTGTGAAATGGCTTCCTGAACAAGCAATGACGTATGGATCGATGAACATGATTTTAACGATGCACCTTGAAGTTGCGGTATACGTTCAAGAAGAAACGTCTTGCTTCTATTCAGCATGACGTTATCAAACATTTTCCTCAGTGACGTCATTAACGTTATGCCCCGATGGTCGTCCTTTTCTAACGGGTCCCGTTTTCCTCCTTTCAAAAGTGGAATTAGTATCCCGATTCGAAAGTTTTTAGGCGTATATTCATTGTTTATGACGTTCTGAAAAATCAATTTGATGATCTCTAACAATTTAGAGCCTCCATGCCGTATATGCTCCGCGGAAACATTATCCATTCCGGAGGCCTTTTTTAGGTTAAGCTGCTTGCTTGCGATTTCTATTTCCTCAAGTGTTATCGGATTGTCCATGAATATATTGCTATTATCGTGCGATTGTATTTCCATGAGACGTATCTGTTCATTAACGTGCATATAGAAGGCGTTGTCGTATTCATCGGATTGTGATGGAGTTGCTAATTGCTGGAAATAATTTTTCCATTCGTTACATATATCGTCAATATCAGATAATACTTTCCCACTATTGTCCTTAATAAGAGATGTTTTCGAAGTAGCAGACTTCCTGCTTCTATTAAGTAGAACCCAGAACATATTTTGGCCCAAATCCTCAGTCTCGTATAGTTTATTTAATTCAGCTGTTTCGAATTCATATCTGGCGTACTTGTATGCTTTTTGAAAATTCCTTTTAGCGGCTTTATACCGTTCCCTAATGGGGTCAGATGAGTCCCTAGGGCGGCCTGCGCGTGTCCACTCCCGCCAAGCAGCATTGCGTTCCTTAACAAGTCTTCCCAGAGAATCGTTCCAGAACGGTTTTATGTGTTTTGAGAATTTCCTTTTCGGAATATGCGAGTCTGATATATTCACCATACTGGAAGTAAGTGTATCGATCATACAATCAATTTCATCATTAGTTAATTGTTTAATTCTCATATCAGGGATCATCTCATTGATAGTCTGGGTGAGCGTATGTGTATAGCCAGCCTTAATCTGATCCGGTGACACTTTATTCCATGCATATTTGATACAATCAGCATTGATAACAGAGATATGTTTGAGACCTTTAATATTGATGGTAATACTTAAATGGAGATGATCACTCGAATTAGATGCATGCTCTGGTATAACTTTACAGATTAACACATTATCAATCTCATCAATTGAGAGAATACAGTGGTCTATGTAGGACCTGTTACCAAAATTATCTTCAAACGTGAAACATGGGCCAGATCCACTAACAATATCGACGGCAGTAAGGGATATTTCTTTACACAATTCAAAAAGTTTACGGCCATTGTTAGTATGATGTCCCATACTTCTGTTACTGCCAAACAACCTACCAAAATTAGCATTCATATCGCCAACCATCATGATTTTACCATTTTGCTCAACCTGCGTTATGAAGGTGCATAACTCGTTTAGAACATCATCGTATGTGTCAAATGAGCATTGCTGCTGAGGCAGGTAAACCGAGAATATGTACAAAGGTGTGTCAGCTTTGATTTTGATACATACGATTCTGTCAGTGTACATTTTAGACATGGGTATTACACAATGAGCAAGTGATTTTCTATAAAAAATACCTACACCGCCATGCCCTGTTAAAGTACCACAATTAGAGTTACAAAGCATTCTACTACTTCTACCAATACACTCGAAATCAGACGATACATTGCACAATTTATTTAGATTGCATTCGTAGAGCTTGTGTTCTGATACGGCCACAATATCGTGCTCGTTCATGATATACCTAAGGTGCTCAATTGAAGTGTTGAGGCCTCTAAGATTCCAACAGGCAACTTTTAAATCGTTAACCACAGTCATAACTACACACTGGAATAAAAAAGCAAAGCAGTACACTTTGGTATGAAACATTTTGACTTTATCAGAATGATGAGTTCGATATTAATCCCAAACAGAACCACGATTGTCATACCAGTCGTAATTTTCATTTGATTCATTCTTATATTCAAAGCGTGGGTCTCTTGTATGGTCATATTCATACACATCTCTTTGGTAACTCTGATTAGAACGCGTCCGATTAGCATACATACTGTCCTCATCGTGGTCTAACTGAGGAGGGCGTGGCTCGCGACGGTCTTCAGTTTGACGCTTATATCGTAGTCGAGGTGGTGGAGCAGGTCGCCTGTCCACATAAGGGCGTGGTTTCCATTCTCTGCATGTAACTGGACTGGGCCATGTCTCGTCATCCATAGCTTTAGACACCATTGATATCGGAACCGTGATTTTACAACCAACTCTGTAGCTGGTGACTTTATTATGCACTACATATATCTGCGAGATTTTGATCAACTTGCTATTTGCATATTCTTTAACCACTTTTATAGTGTCGGTGTCTGACTCCGAATCCTCTTGACATATGTTTTCTAAGTATAGGGTTTTTGATTTCTCGAAAGCGACACCTTTAAGTCGTGGAGTTAACGATTTCACATGTTTACCACCACTGTATTCATCGCTAGACTGGTTAAAAGGAACCATCTTAACCGGCGCCTTTTTCTTACTGGCGACCACGTTCCAACCCGTGTTTTCCTGTGGCTTAGCAGGCTCTGACATTCTACGAGTGATAGTGGGTACGTTTGTCTTAGTTGACAGTTGCGGGAATTCCTTATCCTTGTCTTGAAGATAGGCTGGATAGAATTCCTTTTGCACATCATTCGATTTTACAGCTGATTTTTGTTTATCATCGGACTGTTTACATTGATCAGCTGATTTTGCTTGATTGCATGTTGTTTCAATCATGTCAAGGTCAGAGTTATTAATCAGTTTATTATTAGACGGCGTATTTTCCTTGGATATCAAAGTTGTTGATTGCGTTGTTTGCCTTATATTGCTAATCGAATTGTTTTTCGTGACCTGACCTATTTCCCCTTTGGTACGGTTGACCCTAAATATTAAACTCTGTACAATATCCTCTAACAACGAAATGTCTTTCTTTAGCTTCGAAATTTCACTATCGTGTTTCTTCTTAAAATCGGCCAAGTCTTTCTCGCAATCGCTTTGCTTAGCTGACATCTCTCGTAATTGACGTTTCAATTCGATGATTGCATTTGCGGATGTTACCACATCTTGATTTTGCACATTTGAAGCCACTTTGAGATCAGGTATGAAACTCGTTGTGCCCAATACAGATTTCGGATAACCGTCTCTTATTCCATAGACATAAACATGAAGATCGTAAATATCCCCGCATATATTTCGGAGTTTAGTATCCTTATCCTTACGACGTATTAGTTTCAGACTACGTGGAATTTGATCCTTATTCCTTTGTGCAATAGGTCCAAATTGTGAATCACATTTTTCAGTAAGAACGGTAACACTTACATCAAAGAATCTTTGTCGTATAACGTCCAATTCCGCTTCTCTAAAGTCTTCGCACAACTCAGAGACGATGGATTCCTTGCTTTGGTCCTCGCATTTAGCTAGAATCCGTTCGAGAGCGTCCGAATCAACGTCAATATCGCCTAAATTATCCATTGAAGTTGGAAATTGTAGAAAACACGTCTACCATGTTTGAAACCGGAAGTATTATATTGTATACTCTTTTCAAGTTAGGCATTTCTCTCTCATTACGCTAAACTCCAACACTAGTGTGTATTCTTTAAGATAAGTAATAAAATAAAATTTCAAAAAAATGTTTAATATGTCTATTACACTTGTTGATGTTTTTGAATTTTCTTTTTCAAAAAATCAAGATTAATGAAATACATGTATATAATATGATTCCAGGTCAAGGTCACATTGGACATGCAGGGGCTGAACAGCTGTATCATAGTCAAATATAGTATTACAGGGATGTTGCAATCAGCTTTAATGGTGTCTCAGCTTCTAAAGGTGTCAAAGCCACAATGCAGTGATATCACAGTCTGTACACTACTTAAAATATCAATATATCTGCTGAATATGCAATATATCTGCTGAGTATGTAATAATTGATCTATGCAGATTTTAAAAGAACACAACATTTGAGAATATTTTGGAAACACTATTCGGCAAAATCATGTGAAAAAATTCTGCTGCATGAAAATAATTGACTGCAGCATAAGATTTGACTGCAGCATAAGAATAATTGACTGCAGCATAAGAATAATTGACTGCAGCATAAGAATAATTGACTGCAGCATAAGAATAATTGACCGCAGCATGACATTTGATTTCAGCATAAGAATGATTGACTGCAGCATAAAATTTTACTTCAGCATAAGAAGAAGAATTGACTGCAGCATAACATTTGAAGGCATCAAATGTATATTGCATATCTTGAATCTCAATAAGAATAATATAGAACAAATCTGCAATATCTATGGAAACGAGTTACTTTTTCAGGTTCATTAAAGGGTCAGGTTTCAAAACTGAAAATGTATGAATAAAATGGTACTAAGAAATTATGTAGATGACCACTGACTGTATTGGTGTGTACTTAAAAAAGATGTTATTTTTGTAGAAATGAAATTGTCATCAATTTATGCATGCCGTTAACATGTTTGAATTTGATTTTTGAATTTTTTTTACAAATTAAGGCTTTAATGCCTCATTAGCATTTTGGAATAGCTAATTTTTGGTTTATTTAATCAATGAAGGCATGTATGATGAAAAAATGATGGCTGTTCCGTACCATTATATTTATCGCACCCTTAGGTGCTATATTGTTATCAGATTGCCTTGTGGGCAGTTAGTCAGTTGGTCGGGTGGGAGTCCTGATAAATCTTGTCTACAGGTTTCCAGTTTTGGTTGAAGGCTAATCTGATAATATTGGAGTTGATGAAAACATATATTTGTACAGTTAAACCTCTAAATGGGAATACCTTTGATACTTCAATGGGAGGTTATCCTCTACCTGGAAGGTTATCCTCTTGATGAGATTCATTTTTACATTTTCTTATAAGTAACTGGACTTAAGTGTTCCATATGTGCAAATGTTCCATCAACAGACTTTACTGTACAGGCCCGTAGCCAGGATTTGCCAAGGGGGGGTTCAGTTTTCAAAAATTTCCAGGGGGGGTTCACATTTGACAATTTTGGCCCAAATATGGCTAAAATCACTTGAGAAGTGCTCAAAATGGTGAAAAACTGCATCATTTTGAAAGAATTTTTGGCCAGGGGGGGGGGGGCCTGCTGTAATAAGATCTTGAATCAAAAGATTTGGATCTTAGAGTTTTTCATATTCACAGATTTTACTGTGGTTGTTTATTTATTTACATGTATTTATGTGGAAAGGTTGTAACACTTACGCTTATTTTTTATAAATGTACTTAATGTTTAAAGGTTGCGACATAATTAGTCCCATTCACAGGATAAAAAATCTACCTGTTATTCCTTTTCTGATTTTTCATGAGCATATGCTATTTTGCATGTAATCAAAACTATGTTGAAAATGTTTAAGCTCGTTTGTTTTTGAAAGTTACGTTATTAAGTTCTCTTTACTAAATTCCATACTGGATTGGACTTGAGAGTTTGATTCTATACAATTCTATATTCATGCCATTCTTTCATTTATGAATGTAATTGCTGTTATATTTTCTAGTTACGTTGATAGTACTTATTTTGATCACAGTTTATACTGCTCAGGAAACTAGTGAGTTGTCAAATGTCAATTGAAACTTTGAGAAATACATTTAATTTTGAAAACAGTTTCGAGAGAAATCAGTGTATGATTTAAACAGTAACTTGGTGGTAAAACAGAAAGTTGGTAATTTACAGAGATGATAGAATTGAATTTGAATTACAGTTAAGTGAGTTTTTAAGTATTGTATTAAATGTTGGTAAAATTGATGAAACCTAGTTTTATTTTAACAATTTTTATTAGTCCATCAAAAGATCTGTATTCTTGAGGGGATTAATGCATGCCCCAAACTCAAAGTTAAATTGAGACATCAATTTCAGAGTTCCAATGTTATCTGGATCAAGGGTGGAATTACTCAATCCAGATTTTGAGTAATGTCATTTTTTATATCAATATCAGTATTACTGTGGCAAACAAGGACTGATTTTGATTTGTACAAGTTCATAAAAAACACACAAAATCCCATGATTATTTCAAAAAATGTACACATTGAATATTTCGGTGGTATTGGTTGTTCCAGGCATATGCCAGGTATGATGACAGCAATTTTGTTGTGATTTCAGTTTATTGATTTTTGAAAAATACTAAAAATAATATCAAAGCTGTTACAGTGTTTTCCACTAAAATTGGCATAATCATGGAATAATGCTTTTCCATCATATATTTTCCTGTGGGAAACTAAAATGCATATCATAGATAAAATCAACACAATCTTGTGATGCTAATGAGCCTTGAATGAGTTCAGACATTTAAAACACATTGTATGTTTTCCAAATCTGAGTGATATGTTGTTCTTTGGATCATTTGATGGAAGTCCTTCCATTTTAAACAGTAAAGAACCTAAGGCATTTTCTTATGTATATACTTTTCTATTTTCTCTATGTTTTATACATTTGTAATAAATATTTTTCCAACTTTAAACATGTACTTTGTCACATAAATTTTTTTGGTTGATATAACTGATTTGTGATCAACATTTATAAAATCAGCAGTTACACTAAGTTTAACACACCAATGTAATTTTTTCATCTTCATGAATCATTGTTTTTGGAATTTCTGTCACATAAATATATTTGATTCTATGCATGCAAACATAGTAATGAGAGGAGGCTCCTTTGTTGTTGTTGTCATGGTCTTGGGAGAGCTCCTTTGTTTTAATGGTCATGGGAGAGCTCCTTTGAATCATTTTTCTCTATGTGATCTTTAGAGAACTGGTTATATTCCACTCCTGCCCCACGTTATTTCCTTTTGGAATGTCATTTGGAAACAGTTGGTATGATTAAATCTAGAGGATACTTTTGTACAGCATGGGGTATTTGATTGAAGGTACACTGTCTATTATTTTTCCGATGTTTAGTTCATTCATATCATATTTCATTCATTCTTCTAGTGCAGGAATAACATCAACTTTGATTTCAATTGAAGATCAAGTTTGACACTTATAACTGCTCGAACATAAAGATCTTGCACTCTGCCTTTGCAGTTTGTATGTTTAAATCAAAGTTGGTGTCATTCCTAAATCTCTTCATTCTCCCATAAATGAATATTTCACTGGTAGGCTCCATCCATTCTGTATGTATTAGGAGGGGTTGTTCTGGGTCCATATTGGTATTCTGAGCTCTCAGTACTTGTTGTTATGCTGCCACTGCTGCCTGCACCATCGTTAGTTACAACTGTTGTTGAGGATGCTCCTGTAATATATAAGAATAAGGATATATAGTTGGTATTTATTTGTTGAAAGGATTGGTAGCCATGGTGAATCCAACATCGTTTTTCTCTTGTAATTTTTTCAGAATTTTTTTGTTTTAAGAGAAACATGTGTTTAATTTAGTTCACCAAGCCTATCTTCTGCCATTGTGCCAGTTGCCATGACTTATTTCCTCTCATTTGCCACACCATGACAACCACCTTAACGTATCACTACTAACAAAGCAGTTCACCATGAGTTACAACTGTCATCATGGGTTATGCTTGCAATATGTGATTTACAACCATCAACATTACATGGCTTACAGTTCTCATCCAAAATACTAGCTAACAGGCCACCATGGCTATCAACTGTCACCATGGTTTATAACTGCAAATGGAGCTCGGTTATCTGCATCATGCGTTACAACTGCTACCATGGCTTCTGCTTGCAATATGTGATTTACAACCATCGTCATTACATGGCTTACAGCTCTCATCCAAAATACTAGCTAACAGGCCACCATGGCTATCAACTGTCACCATGGTTTATAACTGAAAATGGAGCTCGGTTATCTGCATCATGAGTTACAACTGCTACCATGGCTTATGCTTGCAATATGTGATTTACAACCACCGTCATTACATTGGTTACAATTATCACCCAAGACCCTTAAAGTGTACTAGTACCATTATGGTTGATGACTGCAATTGTGGCTTATATAGTTACATGTAACTCTACCACCATGACGACTTCCATACAGGTGCCCCATGTAAACGTTTTTCACCATAGCCCACCTCTACCACACAAGTGCCCAACGTTTTTCACCATGGCCCACCTCTATCACACAAGTGCCCAACGTTTTTCACCATGGCCCACCTCTACCACCAACTATCTTGGCACAAATAAATCTTAAACGTACCTTGGTTTGCTGGGAACCCAACAAGAAGGTATTTACTTGGGTGGTCCTCGTCCATGGACGCTACCATTCCCATAAACATATCAACGTATACAGATTCTGTGAATTGTCTCCCACGCTGTAAAGATGAAGAAAATATTGAAAGTATTGTCCCGAAAATCATGCTAGTGTTTTTCTTACATTCTAATTCAATTTTCTGAAAAAGTAATTGAGATATCTGACCAAATATGTGTCGGCTACAGTTGGCTGCTTTTCTAGAAATTTTGGCATGGATTATCAAATAATCTTATTTTTCAATGCCACTCAAAACTAATACAAAAGACTGACCAAAATCAGCAACAGCAACAGTATACACTTCCCTCCAAAAGTTTGGCAACTCCCTCATTTGACGTTATGTTAGTCTGTTTTAAGGCGATTGTCAGAATTCTACGAAGTCGTGAATTTCTTAACTGGTTATTGAGAAAATCGAATCAAATCATAAATAGCTTTTAACAGCTTCCTAATTGAGAGTGCTAAACTTTTTTGTGGGGGTGTAGCTCACCTTTGTCGCATGAGCGTAGAGTCTGTCAGCGTCTATTCTTGATCCACCAGCTTGGATGAAACCCCGTCGCACTGCATCACGAGAGATAACACCGTCTTCTGAAACCCATAAGTTAGGGATAAGTTGAAGATTTCAAGAGCCATGAATCATTTTATGAATCGGAACGTAAGTCCCATAGTGATGTCACCACCAGAAGTGGTTGCATTCAGTATTGTTATCGTTTCCAACAACTTTTTGTGTTCGGCAACTTTTTGTGTTCAGCGGGACGGTGACATTTCGCATGTACGTTGTTACATTGATGACATGCATTTAGTATTGTCAATTTGAACCTTTTTTACATAAAATATAAATTCTCAACTTGTGACTTACTTTTTACATCTAAAGAGTGAAAGTAATGTTTTGCTATGACTTTCATAGTTTCTGGTAAAGAGTCATGTTGGTGAACAAAGTCGGCCGCAGCACCCCAGAAATCCTTCCACTCTTCCAAAGAGATCCTTCCATCGCCGTTCATGTCACATGTGCGGAGTAATTCATTCCAAAGTGGCCTTCTTTTAGCGAGGATTGTGTTCACGAACTCTGTATCTTCCCTTGGGTTACGGCCAGTAGCTTCTGTAACAATCTACAATAAAGAGACAAAATAAAGAGATAAAATGGAGAAATCTCCGAGGATGAATTAATATTGCAATCATCTTAAGATAAACCTTCAGAATTTTTAAATGGTGAAAACCACATTTGTATAATTAGTTAATTTTCTCTTTGTGCATTTAAAAAAGAGTACTAGATGATACAATAGACAAATAATTGTAAAATAAGACATTTTGTATGTACATGTACTTACATCTGCAAATACTTCAAAGTCTCGCCATTCTATGAACTGGTTCCCATCGGTGTCTGAAAAAGCCATATATTTTCTTAATGAATAGAAGGCATTATTTCATTATAAATGAATTAAGAAATCCAGCATAATTATGACAATGATGTTAATTAACGTAAGCTTATATATAATATATCTTATATGAAAAGTTTTGGGAAAGTACACAACTTAAAGATATTCAAGATGTACAGTGTAATGAGAACTTAAATTTTACTTCAGGCAATAGAGTTGAATTCTGAATAAAATTGACAAATTACTATGTTTTATAACTCATTTCTATGCACGTTTTACTGTGAAGTCACTATGACTTCATACATGGACTTTCAATAGAATATGCATGTGAAAGTGCAAACCATAAAGTACCAAATATGGTTCCAGAACACAGCGAGGAAAAACATCCAAGACTACGTCAGACATAGGGAAAACAAACCCCCGGCTATCCCAAATCTTAATCCAGCGTGTAAAGAAACAGTGTCTAATCCCCCCCACACACACACACACGCAGCCACCATTAACATCATCGTTACAACGTTTTTGGAACTTTATCTTGAATTGAATAAATAAGAACCCACAGCCAAATGGACTTTTTTCACCATCCACTTCTGTATACAATTAAATAAAAACTTCTTTTTCAGTGATTAAATAAATATGGGAGGGTTGGATCTATCTTTCTCTGCCTCTGCAACGTTCCCGTTGCATTGAGAAACTCCCTTCGTTCACTCGATCACTCTCATTGAACCATGCTATGAGGATCGTTCCCATCCTTCAAGATCGGTCCTTCACTGTTTTCATAGCAGATCATAATCATATTGTAATACAATGAATTACTCTTGGGCCAAGGATGATCGTTCCATTTGATTGAAGATTCGTCTCTTTGGATGAAGGATTGTTCCATGGATAGAATATATGATCATTCGGATACACGATTTGGATCTAGGTTGAACTATAGCTTTAGTTAGAGGGATGTTAATGATTGTAGATTGATTCGGCTTGATAGAGGATCGACTCCCCTTGATGGAGGATTTTCTTTTTGATAGAGGATTAATTGGTTACTTTTGTTTTTGAAAAAGAAAATTGTTTCCAATTGAAACAAAGGTGCTTCATGAAGACTCCATTACTTTACTAGAACATCTTGTTACTGGTCTTTATATCGCGTCCTAATCCTCTCACTTTATTAACACAATAGCGAACCCACTCCCCAAGGGATTACACCATATTCTACAAGTTACAAGTCACTTTACTTACCAAAGGATCTGGAGAAAAACCATTCAGCTTTACGCTCTGTATAATCCGTCAATTTCTCTCGATCTCCAGGCTTCACCAGAAAATTCAAGTTCTCTATCTTCCTTGACATTATCTCTGTGATTACTTCTCCTATCACTTTAAACTATTATATCATCCAAAAACTTATGAAAATAGATGTTTTTTCAGTCATAAGCGCAGGGAGGTTTTAACATATCTTATGGCTCATACGTTCATATAGCTGTATAGCTATGTGCCCTGCCCTATAAAATGTTTGTACAGTTTTCAAGAGTTTTAAAGCAATGTGTTTGAGTGGTGAGAGAATGTAAACAAATTTTACATTAAGTCCACCTTTACAAGTAAGTTAAAGTAAACCTTTCATGTTTGTGTTTCATTGTATATTAATACAATACGCCATAAAAAAAAGTACTGAATGTATAAAAAATGAATAAATGTTGATTCAATACATATTTGAGATACCTGTTATAGTTTATTAATGAAATTGCCGTAATACGAAATAATTTTTGGCCCTTTTCATAAAATGGCCCTACATGACAATCCTTTTACTCTAGTTAAGTCATCCGTTCCTAAAATACTCTGGCTACGTCACGCGTGTGGACCACAACGTTGCCTATGTGAACAGGTGAACACTGTGTAGACCATGCTCATTGTTCAAAGGCGCGCAACCCTCTTAAAGACAAGATGGGACTCCCCCGGCTCTAGTGAGTTGAAGAACTTACATTAAAGTACCTGAGTTTCTCGCTTACAGCCCCACTTGGCGTTTATTTTCCATGGATGTTTATTTGAAAGTCCTCGAAATTAATTCTCAAGGGTCATTATAAAGAGGTAAACAATTTTACCAATGCGGTAGGGGGCGTTTTTTAGAAAGAAATTTGTTTTTCCAGGAGTATTTTCCATGGTGCTTTAAAAGAGGGAAAAGCTTTTTCATATATCCGCCCCTATTTCAAATAAAAGTGTATAAGCGAGAAATCCGATAAGGGCCAAAAATCTAGACATGAAGGTGGAAAACTGTTACGCGGTATATGGGATACATTCATGGTTGCGCGGTATTTGTGATACGGGTGAATATGCCATACTCACCTGCGGTATATGGCATATTCCGCAAGTGAGTATGCGATATTCCGCAGTGAATATGCGATACATTGATTTCAGTGAATACCCGATTCTCACCTGCGGAATATGTCATACTCACTTGCTGAATATGCCATACACCTGGCATACATACGAATATGACATATACCACAGGTGAAAACGTGATACATAAAGCTTTGATTTTATTGGTTGCGAGATCGACTCTAAATGTAAAACTACGCTGGATTACCAATATAGTTAGTGCGTCGAGTAGTAATATATGAATCCTGGATTGAATGAGTAAGTTTATTACGTGAGATTGGTGACTGATACTTCTGCAAAGTTAATATATTCGATACACAGTACTGTTGATTCAGTAATCATTATCATAATTAATAAATTTTACTTGTTCGTTCAATCGATGCAATCGACAATTGCGTACTTCCGTATCACGTTCTCATTGGTTAGTGTGTATGACATATACCGCAGGTGAATCTGTCATACACCGCAAGTGAATATGCCATATTCGTTGCGGAATATGACATATTTTTGTATCGTGTTTACCGCGTAATAGAAAACTATAAAATAAGAAACACATGTATGGAAGGGGGCATAGACCAAACGTTAGATCATGACGTTCAGTCATATATGAAAATCACTGTAAACAAAGAAACAAACATACCGTATGCAATGTGATATGAAATGATAGAAAACATTTATTACTTGGCCAATATGATAATATATAACCAATAACCATGTCTAATATAATATGGAAAAAAATAAAAAGTGTTATCCTATATGAAAACTCAGACAAAGATCTAACATAAGATCGAATGTGATAAAATACATTTATTTCTTAGTCGAAGTGAAAATCATCACCATGTATATGGACTCTCCGACTTCAATTTATCGAATATGTATTTTACGGTCCAGTAACTCTATCAATCATTGATTTTATAACAGACACCATCACACCATTCCGCGTTTCTGAAAATTTTAGGCAAGATTTTAAAGTATACAACTCACAATTCACAGCGCAACTACTCATGCAAGGACTTGAGAAAGTCATATTGTATTAATTTCCATTGTGGGAACAACGGTAAAACAAGGTCGTGAAACGAGGTCAGCACCATAAAGGTCACACATGGTCAATGTCATTGAAAGGTCAGCTAGAAGGTCAAATAAGTATGTCGATCGCATGAGATTAAAAACAGTGGGTTGTTCCAGTACACTGTATCTGTTCCCAGTAAGCATCATTTGAAATACAGATACTTTCATGACTTTGGGTTAAAATCCAAAAAGATGGACTCACGATACTCGGTATCCTCAATGGCATACCAGTCCCAGCATCCACTTGGGTTTGAATCAGTGACATCTATATTTGGATGGAGGATTATAATGTCGTTAGCTTCTGCCACAGAGTTATAGCCTGTGTAGAGGGCGTATTGCGTCCCCTGCCACACGCTGAATAGACAAATATAAGTATAACATTTGAACATCTCCACACAGAATGATCTCCACACGGATGTGTGTGATTAAATGCAAAACGCTGTTCGATGTCTTCGGTGACATTTCGAATATTGTTGCAATCGAAATACAAAGTTGCTGAGAATTTCGTAGCGCAAGGCTTGGGAATGAGACGTCTCAGGTTCGAATCCAAGATGGGTCATTGGATTTCGCACATTTCAATTTCTGTTTTTATTTCGCTGCTTTTATGTACTCTGGGGCTCAGTCAGTTACAATTAAAAACATAGCTTCAGGAAGTTTGGGGTCTTACCGTCCTTGAGAACAACCGTGGAATTGGATGTGAAATCTGCACGCTGGAAATAAATAGGATCCGAAATGAAATGCACGGAAGGATGTAATTTCCATTTTATTAATAATGATAATTATAATGAGAAAACGTGTAGGGGAACTATAAAATAACCAGCCAACAAACTCTTCAACGTGTTTGATCCACAACACAGACAAACACAGATTTACAATATTGAAAAAGTGAAAACACGAAAATATAATAGAATGCCAACCAACCAATGCTTCCATCTTGGCATCTTGTCGGTACATAAATCCACCCAAGATCATCAAAACTGGTGATACCAAACTCATCCGCAAACTCGGTTTGGTCAAATTCAATAAGCTAAATGCCAAGAGATCAAACATTACAATGTAATCCAAACCCGTAACTTAAAATGCTCTTAGTAAATTACCGGCAGCTCCACCATGCAATGAGCTTGCATAAATACAAGGTTTGGTCGAATTTCTCGATGTTACATTTTTATTAATAGACTTTTAGTTCCCATTCATATCGTAGCATATGTACATGATGTCATAAGCATGCCTAGCTATGACACCAATTTTACAGTTTTTTTTATTTTTTTTTTTATTTATTTATTTATATAAAATAGATGTACATGGGGTAATATAGTAAATACAAGAGAGCATATTCAAGTGCTAATCACCATTTTGGCATTATAAGCACTCTAGCCAAGCGGGGAAAAAGATGAAGAGGGGTGGAAGGGGGGGGGGTCTGAGCTGGGCTGGGACTGGGGGAAATACAGGGCAGAGGGACAATGTAATTTATATTTGCAAGACAAGGCAGGGTACAATAGGTTCTAAGATAGTCTTCTTCAGTCTTGTTCAATACGGGGTAAGCCATCTCTTAATAAAGGCAGAAGTCAGAGTAAAGATTTTTGTGTTTTCATCCTTGCTAAAATTACGATTGCCAAAGGCTAGGTATTCTAAAAGTGTGGATTGGTTAGTGGGGATCAAAGGAGTTTCAGTATAGAGAGTATTGAAAAAGATGGTTCTTGCATTTTCATTCAGAGGGCAGTGAAAAAAGAAGTGTTTTGGAGTTTCGGGTAGACCACAAGAACAATTAGGAGAGCTGATGAAGGTGTAATTGTGGGCAAAGAGTTGAGCCCTGAAGAGCAGGTCTACCCTAAACCTATTAATAAGTGTTTCTTCATTTCTAGAAATATTTAGCATTGAGGTAGGGATTATGTTTATGTCAAGGTTTGTTGTGTACAGTCAAATATTTTTAAGACATTTTAAAAAATATGTTTTCGACTAAAATTGAAAATTATAGTATTATCTACAGATTAATGTGACTCGTGTGACCTACATTTTCCTCGTTAGGTGTCCATGCAGTTCCTGGGTCTGTAAGACTGCCCCCATATATGTGATTTAAAGCACCAAACGCTCCACTGTAATCACACCTGTTGATGGCAGGGGGACTTGATGTATCGCAATCATTGCCATAATCATTAGTGGGCTACAAAGAAAATTTCAAGTTTTTAAAACTTTAATAAAATCGACTGTATATTAATGGACAAGTGCATCATATATTTATCATTTATTTATAAATTTTATCCAGTAAAACTAATGCAGGATACAAACGAAACGCAACAAACGTTTAAATACCCTCTGAAACCCCAAAATCAAATATTAAGTTGTACACTTAGCCTACCAGTAAACGAATTAAAAGGAGCTGCGCATTGATTGTAAATGAGAATCAAAAATGTGTTAAATGTTTAAACCTTATCAAAAATACATTGTTTTTATTGATATCTCAGTGATAAGAAATAATGATATGAGAAATAAATCCGTCACTTCACTTACAAAACCATGACCCGCGTTGGTTGTAAACATTGTTGCAATATCTGAACCAAAGTTCTGGTAGTACTCTCGTATCGCTGGACCATTTCCTACCAATGAAACAAAACAAAGTAAATCCATAATAAGTTAAAAAATTTGGGATACAGTTTTGTAATTATTTGCAATAACTTACCAGATGGGGACATTTAGTCATGTTAATAAGCTAATGGCGTCGCATCATTAAGTCAATGAACAATCTCATCCAATATAACCCTCAATCACATTTGATCTACGGCAACCGCATGGTGGCCATAGCTTCCCAAAATCAGAGAAGTATGCACTATGCAGCATAAAATATAGGGACAAGCAGTAAGATCTAGATTTTCGATATCGATTTTGTGAAGCGTACGGTAGCCGTAGAGTAAATGTGACCGAGGCTTACTGTAACATAAAGGAAATTACCTTCTTGCACGGTAAAGTCATTTGGACCTTGGAATAAATAGACCTTTGCTCTAGAGATCCCTTCTACCGCATCGATATCGCCAGTAATTGCAAAATCTCTTGTATCTTGCACCAGTCGCGCAATGTTTATATTCTCGGGTTCCTGACCACACCCACTCACACCATAGTAGATGAAGCAGTTGTACGGCACTGGAATGGATATGAGGGTTGTCTCAAAAAGTTTAATATACAGTAAAATCGTTTTGGACAACTCTCACATTAGAATGTGCAAAGAGAAAGGGTGATATGAATCGTGTAGGCCTATATTTGTTTATTATTAATTCAGGGCAACCAGGGGGTGTCGTTTGGTAACATTACTTGATGCCAAAAGGATGCTTCTTTAACTCCCAATCCGATTACATGTACTTTAAACTTCTTTTTGTGGATGTGAAACAGGCAATAGCTTTGTGCAAAGGAGCTATCGCAAAACCATATTATAAGAACAAAATATATTGATCAATTTGATAATTGAATTATCGTACTTCCCGCAAATATAGCGGCTCCCATGATGGTTCCCGAATGAACAACGTGGAATTGTGTACTGAAAGCTCCCCCGCTGGAGAATCCAGACACTGAGATCTGCGACCTGTCCACATTGTATTGCCCTGGAAACAAAAAAAGCCTATTATGTTGAAGTTAGATTTTTTCCTCAGAAAATCAGGAGCAAATAACAATGAAAATAACAATTTTCAGGATTAAAAGTTGTCTAGAGACTCTACCCAGCATTGTCAAAGTCTTATGTAAACCTTTGACTATGCGCATATGCTACCTTGCCTGTGTCATGACTGGCTACGACTCTGAGCTGCAACATTTTACACTTAGGCCTATTTGAAATTCGGTGATATTCGTCAATAGTTTAGTTTAGTTTAGTGTACTATATTTATTTATTTATAGTGGTCAGTCTTACAATTCAATAAAATATAACAATTAATTACAAGTTTACCCAGCCCACCTTGGGCTTATTAACCACTTCTAAATACTGTTAAATAAGTAAACATTGTGCACATACCAAGACGCTGGGCATCTACAATGGCTACAAGAAGCAAAACACGAAGTACCTTCATGGTAGAGTGAAAAACTAGAACCAAATACTTACCTTTGGAAATCACTGATTACCAGTATTCGAAATCACTAACTGTTGTTTCTCACGGCCTAATTAATCATAAGCTTGCTATAATATGAAGAATACTGTTTTCTTGTATCGCTTGTCAGATGAACTGTTATGAGTATGATAGAAAGCATTTGTAAAACTCGGGGCATTATGAATGTATGGGCGTTTGTTTACATCAATGGTTAGAGCCAATTCTCTGGATGTCTTGGCAGCTCCACCATGTTTCAATTGCGTTGGGATCTTAAATGCTCATAGGTGTGCCCATTGAATAAGAAGACCCGTGTGATTAATCAACATGACAGAAGTTATACACAGGCCTAATTAGTATATAAATAAAAATACCCTTCCCATTGATTAATGATGAAAAGACTCCACTAGGAACTGGAAGGCAAGGAAGTCCGACCGAAACATTCAAAATCCCCGCCAATACTGTCATCTTGAGTGAAAATACCACGAATGGAAATATCACTAATAAAATGATAATATGACACATTTGAATGAAATAAAGATATTTTTGCACTTTTCAAAGCAATAATATTCGCCTGTTATTCTCTAGGCTGATTAATGTAAAATATAAACACTTCTGTAGCTATTCTAGGATGATCGATCCCGGAATCCAAACACTCTTCAAAAGCTCTTTAAAAGAGAAGGCGCAAACTTACTTCCGGCAATGTTGGTTGGCTATAATCCCGTGGTGCAAACCTTCTTTGGGACGCTATTTACATGGGGTCTCACCGCAGCTGGAGCGGCATTAGTCTTTGTATTCCAGGGTGGAAAGGTAATGTACTATCTGAGAGCAATTTTAAAGAATTTATTTGACCAATTTTACGTAAAGTTTGCTTTCCATTTCAACCAATGTTTACTTTCTTCAAATAAAAACCGAAAAATAAGGAATCATCATCATCGGGTTACACGACAAAACAGATATCAGAATTTTTATTAGGAAATACCTCCTAAAGAAACATAAAGTAAGGAAGGCTTCTTGAAAAAATGCTTCCGGGTTTATAATTTGGAAATTACACAATAAAACGTTTGAGACGTAACTAATTAATACAGATTTAAGATTAACAGGGTTCAAGTTATCCCGTTCCCGGACTATGGTCCTGTGAACATCTCAATCTTTTGCCTGTGCGATTACAACATGGGAGAATTTTTTACTGATCTTACACTTCAGATACCTACTTCAATAGATTCCTTGGTAATTTAGCATTCTTTTCGTGTAGTTGAATCCACAATTGTCTGGGTTTATCGGCAGAACGAAGACATTTTCGTTTTTGATCGCAATATTTGCATTTACCATTTAACTTATTTCAACCGTCAAATTCCTCCATATTGGTACTTCCGGGCTACATCCGGGACAGCCAAACGGGGGATTCCCCTTTTAAATCCAACCGCCATTTTGAAAAGTGATGGAATCTCACTCGATGAAAAAGAGAAAATGTTCCCGTTCTGCCGATATACCCAGACAATCGGCGGTTCCAATATATTAGAAGTTACATCTTGAGTTCTATAATGCATTGAGGTAGGTATCTTAAGTGTAAGGGGCGTAGATAATTCTCCCAAGTTGTAATCGTACAGGCAAATGAATGCGATCAGTGCAGGACTATAGTCCGGGAACGGGATAAGGTTCAAGGCTTTGGTTAACAATGGAAACATACCACAAAAGAATCGCAGTATTGTCAAGTCTTCGATGATTGTTGGAGAGTTTGAAATATTGAACGTTGTTCTTCTCATACTGCCTCTCGTAATTTCTTGGGAGAGTGTAACCCTCGAGATCTAGGGCAACGGGGTGTAACGTCGACATCATTTTGGGGTATAACTTCCACATGTGGGGTAACTTCGACACCTCATTGTTTATTTGCTCCAATTTTCGATCTAGGGGGAAGCCATGTTTTTTTTCTCGCATGGATCGAGATCTCGCGAGATTTTAATTTTTCTAGAAATCAATCATGGTGGAAAATGGAAATTCTACTTCTAATAAGTAAGTGTCAAAGATACCCTGTCTCTTAGGTCGACATTACCCCACACATCGACGTTACACTCCTTTGCCCTATCTCTCCGTGTAGAGGGGATTGCGTCTATTGCGTATCACCTTTGTTATTACAAAATTCAAAAAAAAAATTTTGTTTACCGATTTACCAAACATTTTGTTGCCAATTAGCACCAAGAATAGGATTAACTTTATTGAAAAAGTACCATAGAAAACAATGGTGCATGTTTCATAAGCAGTATTATTATGGTAGTAGAGATATCGGACTTTCAAAACCCTGTAGTGAAATTAGTTTTCAATGAGCCTTCCTCACTTTCTGTTTCTTTAAGAGGTATTTCCTATTTAAAAGTCTGCCAGCTGGGGCTGGGCATGACACAATCATTTACTGATTGGTACATATTCAACGGACCAATGAAAAATTCAATTTTGGATGTTCAATATTTTTTCAAATTTTTAAACTGGATTGCAGAATATAAAGATATCAGCTGAAAATTAAGGTGCCGTGGTACTTAACCGGAAATGACAAAACAGGAAGTGATTAAACCATGCTGGATTTCAAACATTTTTTGAACCAAGATAACAGAGTTCTGTTTTTACCTCCAGTCAGTTTAACTAGTTCCACATGTCATTTACATGACCAGGATCACTATGTACATGGTCAGGATGACCTTAAACATGATGAAATAACTTTTTCAGCCCTCTGAAAATGTGACGGAAAAATAGCTACCTTGAAACTTCTAATTAGACACCATATTATCAACGTGGGGAAATATATTATTATATATATATATATATAAAAAGTCTAACAATGCCCCAGAATTTCATCTGATACCAAGGGTTTGTCAGGGAATGCCCCATGGCGGAGAATGCCCCTATCTCCTCTAAAAGACAGAGGCTGTGTCATACATGTCTGTAATTGTCAGTTGCCCATCAAAGTCATTTGTACGAAATTTGTATGGACAACATCATGTCTATGAGCTAGCCGTACATCATGATCAGACATCAAGGGAGTTAAAGACTAAAATATTTTCAAAAGAATGGGCAAGTCCATTGCTGTCTGACGGACATTGTTCGTCATTGTCCTGTTTTGACCATTTATTTTCAATGGAAATTGCCGGACATATCGAGGCCATTTAATCATGTGACTGTCAGTGATCATATGACCATTGTTTGACAAAATGGCACTGTAATAAAGACATCATTAGACAAAACAGGACAATATCGAACATTGTTCAGTAGACCACCACAGTGTGCGGCTAGCTTTATTAATATACTCTGAAATACACCTAACATTGGAATCATAAAGTTTAATTCAGATTGTTTGTTGCTAAAAATAAGCAATCGATTGACCACATTTCAATTTTGAATAGAAAAATATAGTCTATAATGTAGAGAAGAAAATTCATATGTTTTGGATTCTGTGTGGCGAAGTAAATAAATGTATATACTATCGGCAAGGCCACACCATTGGTCCAAATCCTAATGGTCCGAATCTTATAAGACAGTCCAAATCTCAATTCTCCGAATCCCAATTGTCCGAATCCCAATCGTCTGAATCCCATTAGTCCGAAACCTATGGTGGACATGAATATTTATTCATTTGTTACATGTTTTTCAGAGGAAGGTCCTTGATGGCAGTCTAGGTTTTGCAGCAGGGGTATGTATTTATTTATGAACCTATTATGAGATACATACAGAGAAAAATTCTTTAAAATGAATTGTTTTACTCTATTGGTTGGAATTCATAGAACATTGTGATTTGTGATTAGAACTTAGTAAGTCTGTGGGCATAATGGGATTAGATAATCATGAATTTCATCTTAATAGATGTTATCATAAAGATAGGATGGTAGCTTTTATTCAGCAAGTATTGACTAAACCCATGTTATTGATTTTATTTAATTTGCTTCAATGTTCTATTCAAACATTTATATAGTTATGACACATGGTTTATTCTCAGTCTTCAGAAAACAATAAATCATGTGCAGTATATTTTCATTCAGAATTGTTTACTTATATGTTTCCCTACCCTGGAGCTCAAAGCCTTGAAGTAATTGCTACACTCTGACAAAGATAGAAAAAATATTTGATCTTGATAAGATTATAATGAACCTAAAATTAACGGTCAAAGCCTTTTCTGAGAGTTTTGATATGAAGTTCATTCTTGATTCTTAAGAATGCATAAATTCTGAACAAACAATTCTGATTGGATGTTGAATTTATTTAAGATTTATATAATGTTCATTTTCCCAAATATGGTCATCCATCTTTTGAGCAGAGTTCATTGCCCCAATGCTCCAGCCCCATGTAGATGATTTTCTATTCATCTGGCTTTATCTAAATCCTTCTATGTTTAAGGTGATGACGGCAGCTTCCTATTGGTCGCTTCTAGCCCCTGCGATAGAAATGGCGGAACAGTCAGGAATGTATGGGGCTCAGGGACAGTGGGCATTCATCCCAGTTGCCATTGGTTTCGCCTTAGGGGCAGGCTTTGTTTATGGGGCAGATTTTCTACTTCCTTATTTGGTAAGTTTTACGAAAAATCTTGAACTTAAATGTTCATATATGTTTGCAACCTGATTGGTTACTTACAGGATTTAGATATTTCTTGCCTGGTTGCTCTTACTTGTTACGACTAGATGCTCATCAAGTAATAGTAAGATAGATTACATGTTATGGTTTAGTTGGAGATACTAAAATAGAATACATTTTAATGTTAATTAAACATACAGGTTCGGAAAGAAAATCATCAAAGTGGTACATCCAGTTTAACTTTTTTCAGTTTCCTCGATTTGAATAAATATTTGTACATTGTATGTACAGGGTGTCCAATAAATAAGGTGAAAGATATTGTAACTTTCTGAATATTGCACCAATCTTGGTGAAATTTTCAGAGTTTGTAGATCAAACCTTTTTACCTTTATTCTGCGAATTTCAAGGGTCTTCTATTTGATTGGCCAGAGTTGTGGTTGCTATAGCAACCGAAACAACAAAAAGGCGGGGCAAGTTTGTTTACGTCGCAACTTTCCAAAACATATTTGTTATTTCTGATAGCTTTATTCATACTCCCAGGTCTATTACTACCAGAAATACAAAATAAAAACAGTCCTAAAGTCCCATTGTAATGGAAAATAAGCTATTCAACATAATGTCCATCTCTAGCTATACACTTCTTATGCTTATTCACCCACTCTCTAAACACACTTCCAAACCCATTCCGTTAAAAAACGTACAGGAGAGAAGTTTCTGCTGCACTGTGACAATGCCCCCTCACACACAGCTATGCTCACTAGTGAAACTATTTGGGCACTGGGGCTACCCCTACTTGCACACCCTCCATATTCCCCAGACCTTGCACCCGATGACTTTTACTTATATATGTAGAACTCAAGCGTGACTTGAGAGGAAATAAATTTGGAAGCACTGATGAACTCAGATCACATGTCTTAGCAAGACTTCAGGAAATGGACAAGAATGGGTTTGAAAGTGTGTTTAGAGAGTGGGTGAATAGGCATAAGAAGTGTATAGCTAGAGATGGACATTATGTTGAATAGCTTATTTTCCATTACAATGGGACTTTAGGACTGTTTTTATTTTGTATTTCTGGTAGTAATAGACCTGGGAGTATGAATAAAGCTATCAGAAATAATAAATATGTTTTGGAAAGTTGCGACGTAAACAAACTTGCCCCGCCTTTTTGTTGTTTCGGTTGCTATAGCAACCACAACTCTGGCCAATCAAATAGAAGACCCTTTAAATTCACAGAATAAAGGTAAAAAGGTTTGGGCTACAAATTCTGGAAATTTCACTAAGATTGGTGCAATATTAAGAAAGTTACAATATCTTTTACCTTATTTATTGGACACCCTGTATATACACATGTACATGTATCTTTTATTGCCTCTGATGCCATGACAATAACATATTGGTCATGACAGTCTACACTACAAAACCAAACTAAAACTAGACTAAAATAACTCTTCAATTTTTAAATAAAGTGTGACAAAATGTAAATATCTAAGACATTGTCTGTATTTTCTCATGAATTGCTGTTATTTATGAGTTTTAGCCAACTGTGGTGCCACCTGTTGGCAACAATATATGTTACCAGAAATAGGAATGAATGCATAAATAAATTGAATTGAATTGAATTGGAGATACATGTTTTATTTATTTAACATTATAGGGAGGAAAGGAACCAGTTACGATTTTGGTAATAAAACAGGAAGTTCATTATCCAGTTTGAATGTATACCATAATAGAAAATTACTTGGAGGAAAGATGTTACAGTGGCCATATTTTGCAACACAAAATACTGGAATCAGCAGAAATAAACAAGCATGTTATTGATTCTCTTAATATATTGATACTGAGATAAATTAATTATAGTATTGTCCTAAAATGTCTGCATAAATGGCCGCGGTGACTTATTTCTACATCTTCTTGTATAGCAAAGACAGTCTTGGGTTGTTAAAGATTGAAGAGTGCGAAATCAAACTCAAAATAAGAAAGGAAAATGAGAACTCAATCAGCATCTATTTGGTTTGACATTTCATTAAACCTGGTTCCCTATCCCCCCTCCCGATCCCATCATCCCAATTTCATATACATGTAGATGGACATCTAGATATTGATATTCAAATTGACATGTATCTCAAGATGTTTTGGTTTGGTGTTTTGCATTTTGGTGATGGGTTATTGTCGGGATAAGCTCAGGTTTCTACCCTTGCTGTTTTACACACACTATTCATAGTAATCAGTACAGAAAGACAGTATGGAAAAAATTCTTAAATTCATTAATAATATTGTCAGATTTATTCATGAAGAGTTGCACAAGCGAGTAAGAAGATTCTCTTGTTTTGAGACTTTGTTATCAGTTCTCGATGTGAACTCTCTAAGTTAGCTTAGTACCAGTACCAAATACCGTTGGCCCGATTTTGTTCATATTTTGTACACATATACCCTATGGGGGTAGAAGTTCTGCTAAAAAGCCGATTTTCAAAATGGCCACTCATTTAAAAATGGCGGCCATTTTAGTGCCGATTTTACAGTAATTTAGGTACAATATGTAAAACTGTGATAGCATTATGTTTTAAATGTAAAAAAATTATATAGGACATTGATAAAGCTAGAAATGTAGAAATTAAAATAGCACATGGCAGCCATCTTGAAAAATGGCGGCCTTTACTCGTTATTTTATGATTTTTGCTGTAACTGAAGAAGTATTGGAGCGATTTTGTTCATATTTGGTATGTGAATACTATAAGCATGGCTCACTGTCTAATGACACTTTTGGTAGGAGGAGGCCATTTTGAAAATTTGCCGCCATTTTGAAGAATGGTCGCCATTTTAACATATTTTACTTTAACTCAAAAAGTAGTGGAGCGATTTTGTTCATATTTGGTTTGTGAATACTATAAGCATGGCACACTGTCTAATGACATTTTTGGTAGAAGGCGGCCATTTTGAAAAATGGCCGCCATTCTAACGTATTTTACTATAACTCGAAAAGTAGTGGAGCGGTTTTGTTCATATTTGCCATGTGAATACTATAAAAAAAGCATATTACTTCTTCTGATGACAAAAAATGGAATTTGAAAAATGGCCGCCATTTCAGTCAATATGGTACAACGAAAATGGGACTTCTGCGCATGTTAAAATTTTTCGTCAAAACTCAACTTTTGTTCAAGTTGATACGATTGGCTTTCGAACTAGAGACTTACCTCATTCGAAAGATCATAAAAGACTTTATCTATACTGAAAATCTTAGATCCAAACATAGTAGAATACGCCGTCAGTCCGCATTTGATTTTTTGAAGTGAGTTTCGTAGATCTTCAGATTTCTCCGACTGATATAGGGTTATCTCAAACTGGTTCGTTTATAAATACGAATTTCTTTACCGTTGTAAGGCGCATGCGCAAAATTGATTTATAAACCTTATTGGTTGATGGTTTTTCTCCTGCGCATGCGTGAAGTCTGATGAACACTTATGACGAAGACCGGAGCAAACATTACTAGCTCTCGAACGAAATTCCAAGATTCAGGTCATTTCGCCGTGTTTGCTAAGCGTGTATACGTGAATGACAAGCTGTTTTGAGTAGATCGGGTACCTGTTTTAGACACAACATTGATTTAGCTTGACATTGATGTGCACGTTGGCACTTTTGAGCATGTTAATACAAGTTTTTACACGCTTAGCACGAGACGGGTTTTCGAAAAATCTGTTATCTGATTCACTCGATTATCGTATGGATATGTATTTCTGCTGACATTTCAACACCACATCACATAGAATTACGATGCAGAATGATAATAAAACACAAAACAACTACTAAATTCCACTTGTTATTTCACAGGAGCTAAAAATGCAAACTGCCTAGATTCTTTGTAAGGGTCGTCAGACATCGGATTGGCCGCCATATTTGAAATGAAAATATCACTAAATAGAGGTCTGCGCATGCCTCAACATTTCGACTGATTTAAACGTATTTTACTCTTTATTTTACGATTTTTGCTGTAACTTGAAAAGTAGTGGAGCGATTTTGTTCATATTTGGTATTCAAATACTATTAGCATGGCACACTGTCTTATGACACTTTTGGTAGAAGGCGGCCATTTTGAAAAATGGCCACCATTTTAAAGTATTTTACTATAACTCGAAAAGTAGTGGAGCCTATTTTTCATATTTGGCATGTGAATACTATAAAAAAGCATATTACTTCTGATGACAAAAGTAGTGGGTGATTTTGTTCATATTTGGTATGTGAATAATGTGAATAATATAAGCATGGCACACTGTCTAATGACACTTTTGGTAGAAGGCAGCCATTTTGAAAAATGGCCACCATTTTAAAGTATTTTACTGTAACTCGAAAAGTAGTAGAGCGGTTTTGTTCATATTTGCCATGTGAATACTATAAAAAAAGCATATTACTTCTTCTGATGACAAAAAATGGAATTTGAAAAATGGCCGCCATTTAAACGTATTTTACTCTTTATTTTACGATTTTTGCTGTAACTTGAAAAGTAGTGGAGCGATTTTGTTCATATTTGGTATTCAAATACTATTAGCATGGCACACTGTCTTATGACACTTTTGGTAGAAGGCGGCCATTTTGAAAAATGGCCACCATTTTAAAGTATTTTACTATAACTCGAAAAGTAGTGGAGCCTATTTTTCATATTTGGCATGTGAATACTATAAAAAAGCATATTACTTCTGATGACAACTTTCTTATGTGTGTTATTTTATGGTATTTGCTATATATTTCGTTTGTAAAAATGCCAGCTATTTCTGTTCGATGGGATTCGCTACGCTTTGGCGTTGCCGTTGTTCTGGTTTAGCCTGTTGTGAGAAATTCTAGTGAAACCCCTGATATATGTTTATGTACACCTCTTAATATACATGTATAAATGATTTCAGCTGGACTAGTCAGTGTGCTATAGTACAATGTATTTCTTTAGGTATTATAACACTCTTTGCTTTACCTGTTGGTGTTGGACCTTTTTCCAGGGAATCAACGACCCAAACATTGCACTAGCAATAGAGACAGGTACAAAATATGAGAAAGAAGATATACCAACAACTGTAGTTACTGAAAACAATGGAACATCAACAGTGATAGGTGAGTTAAAAATTGCCTTTTTTAATCGAAATACCATGTTGTGATTGGTGAAAGGCTGGTTAACAGTTTCTACTTTGATGATCTTATGTATTGCTGGTTCAAACATTTGTTGATCTTCGGCCTTAAACATGTTATAAGCAATTGGCTCTTCAGTCTTGTCTGTAAAAGTTGTAATAGCCTTGATTTGATTTCCTAATGCTTTAATTTCCTAATGCTTTAATTGCTTATCTCAAACAAATATTGGGAGAATGAGGATGTAGAAAGTTGATTTTTTGAAATTCATCAATCGTGAAGAGAAATGAGCTATATACTATACAAATACAGATATTTCATTTTATAGAGGTCAGAATTTATATTTTGATGATTCTAGCAAATTATATTCTCTTAACCTGTAAGGGGCGATGGCAAGAGAACTTGCAGAATCAATCAAAGTGTATACACCAAAAATAAATTTTTGTTTTACTTTACAAATCTTATGTTTTCAGATTCCCCTGCTTTAAATACTCGTAGTACAACTCAGCGTCGTAAACAACAATCCCATGATTCTGGGGACGTCCCAAATTATGAATTGAACTCTCAACAAGATAGCAACACAGCTCGTACTAGCTGGAAGCGTATATTGCTTCTTATAACTGCAATCACTATACATAATATACCAGGTTTGTTACTTGCATCTCAGGGAATACTCTTTTCACGTTTCGTTGTGGATTTTTAAGCGAGAGCTTTGTCAAGTACACTCTTTTCAGGCAAGAGATAATTCTTTGATCTAGCCTTAACCAATCAGGTTATGTCAGTCCAGTTGTTTAGAACCACTATTGGCTTAATAGCACTATTAACTTAATAATTAATTAATTTTCAATTGTTGCAAGTTTTAATAACAATAACGCAAATGCGAGTAGGTAGTTACCAGTTTCACCACCTGGTGGCTCGCTCGGGTCAGATAGCATGGCGGGTTTTATTTCGAGGGGCAATATGATATTGACCGAAGGGTAATATGATATCGACTGAGGGAGCGCAGCGACCGAGTGTCAACGTCATAGTGCTCAAGGTCAATATCTTATTTTCCGAGGAATAAAACCCATATTCAATCCCGATCAGAAATAACCTATTTATTCCATAATAAATTCCTCTAAAATGTTACATTTGGATAATGCTTTTATCAATTAGCCAAGGTTAAAAAATAACCGGGAAACCAAAAATAGGTTAATACGTTCCAATACGTTTTTTTTCATATTTCCCTCGGAAAACAGTAGTATTATGGAATAATAATGAGTATGTAATACATGTATATCATTACTTATGTATAATAGTACTTATCCCACCCTAAGTGCTTTATATGATTGTATAATAGCATTGTATAACTGCAATATAAAACCAACACTCATCGTATACAACTCTTGAGAACGATATACAACTCCTGGATAGCGTATACAACTCCTGGGCAGCGTATACAACTCTTCGACTTGATATACAACTGCTGAATTTAGATTAACCTTTTATTGATTAAAGATTAGGGTGGGATAATAAGATCATATAATGGTTGATTCTGTATATCGTTATACTCTCGTGAGTATATGATATATTCACTCGTTCCCTTCAGTCACTCGTGAATATATCATATACTCACTTGAGTATAAACACGATATACGTTATCAACCATTATATAACCTCATAATATACACATTTATTCCATGATGGTGAAATTCCCTGCAATCTGATTGGTCCACGTGACTTAAATATATTCTGTATTTACACGCACTTTCCAGTGTCAATGACGTCAGCGTTGGGATACGGTCCAGTATCCCAACGCCCCAGATTTCCATCCAGGATATGACTGTTACAGAAAAAAATCAATGGCGATTACTTTACACCAAATCATGCTTATCTTTGAATTTTGCTATAAATATCTGATTCAAATATCAGAAACGTATACTGTGATCACCACAATCAATAATTTTAAGATAAAACACGAAAACAAAAAGCAAACCAAGGCCATAAAGATTTTGAAGGAATATCGATTAAAAATCTCTGAGGTGAGAAGGTTGATCTATTTCTCCGGCCCCGAGCCAACGGACTTGATTTAGGCGAGTTTCATATGGGTAATCATGGAATAAAATCGTTATTCAATGATTTCTTGTGAAATACAGAAAATATTCTTCCCTTGAACGTCTGTATTTCACTCTGCTAGCGCATCGTGAAATACGACCTTCTCGGGAAGAATATTTTCTGTATTTCACTCGAATCATTGAATAACTTATAGTATTATATAATTGAATCTCAGTCTGTTACCACTTTGTAATATGTTTATTTCATATTACTTTGATTTTCATGTATTTTATATGATGTAATCAGGGAGGATCTACTTCATTTTTCCCCCCGGTATACATTGGCTTTAACAGTATTTCTATTGCATTTTAAAAGAGTTTAAAAATGAAATGGAAATCGATTATGAATAGGTAAATAGTATAGTATAACCTGTGCACAGAGAAAACCTATGGAGCCATAAAAATGTGTTCACTGTCGATAGGTGTTCACTAGAGAGGTGATTTTATACTGAAGTCAGTGAAGTATTTGCTATGAAGGCATGTTAGCTAGATAGAAGTGTTCCCTAAGACTGGTTAATTACATTAATTCAAATCCTGATAGTCAATCAAATTGGTAGTTGTTAGCTCACATGGTGAGCTTTTGCAATCACTCACTTGTCCGTCTGTCTGTCCGTCCGTCCGTCTGTCTGTCTGTCCGTCTGTCCGTCAACAATAGTGGCACGTTTTAAAACCTCTGTCGATAGGATTCCTGTTTTAAGTTATTTCTGTTCAACATCAATACAGAAAACCCCCCTATGACTCCTGATTCAAAAGCTCGCCTATTTTCAAAATGGCCGTCACTTTTGTCTCGCGAAATTCACTTTTGGCCCATTTCCTAGCTTTACAAATAATTTGAGGTGTCCTACATTGTAAAAATCCATGTCAATGGAAAGATTAGATATATGTAATAATTTTGTTACAAAAAATCAGCGAAAAATTGTATCCATTTTTTTATTTTCAGCCATTTTAGTTAACATTGATTTGTCTATCTGACTCGCGAAATCCACTTTCTGTCAATAACAGTGGCACGTTTTAAAACCTCTGTCGATAGGATTCCTGTTTTAAGTTATTTCTGTTCAACATGAATTCAGAAAACTCCCTTATGACTCCTGGTTCAAAAGCTCGCCTATTTTCAAAATGGCAGCCATTTTTGTCTCGCGAAATTCACTTTTGACCCATTTCCTAGCTTTACATATAATTTCAAGTGTCCTACATTGTAGAAATCCATTGCAAAGTAAAGAGTAAATGTATGAAATAATTTTGTTACGAAAAATCAGCGAAAAATTATATCCATTTATTTATTTTCAGCCATTTTAGTTAACATTGATTTGTCCATCTGTCTCGCAAAATTCACTTTTGGACCATTTACCTTAAACCCTCTGTCGATAGGATTCCCATTTTAAGTTAATTTTGTTCAACATCAATACAAAAAACTCTCCTATGACTCTTGGTTCAAAAGCTCAACTATTTTCAAAATGGCTGTCACTTTTGTCTCGCGAAATTCACTTTTGACCCATTTCCTAGCTTTACAAATAATTTCAGCTGTCCTGCATTGTAAAAATCCATGTCAATGTAAAGGATAGATATATGAAATAATTTTGTTACAAAAAATCAGCGAAAAATTGTATCCATTTTATTATTTTCAGCCATTTTAGTTAACATTGATTTGTCTATCTGACTTTCTGTGGCACGTTTTAAAACCTCTGTCGATAGGATTCCTGTTTTAAGTTATTTCTGTTTAACATCAATTCAGAAAACTCCCCTATGACTCCTGGTTCAAAAGCTCGCCTATTTTCAAAATGGCCGCCATTTTTGTCTCGCGAAATTCACTTTTGACCCATTTCCTAGCTTTACAAATAATTTCAAGTGTCCTACATTGTAAAAATCCATGTCAATGTAAAGAGTAGATGTATGAAATAATTTTGTTACGAAAAATCAGCGAAAAATTATATCCATTTATTTATTTTCAGCCATTTTAGTTAACATTGATTTGTCCATCTGTCTCGCAAAATCCACTTTTGGACCATTTACCTTAAACCCTCTGTCGATAGGATTCCCATTTTAAGTTAATTTTGTTCAACATCAATACAAAAAACTCTCCTATGACTCTTGGTTCAAAAGCTCGCCTATTTTCAAAATGGTTGCCATTCTTGTTTCGCGAAATTCACTTTTTGCCCATTTCCTAGCTTTACAAATAATTTCAGCTGTCCTGCATTGTAAAAAGCCATGTCACTGTAAAAGGTAGTTGTATGAAATAATTTTGTTACAAAAAATCGGCAAAATATTATATCCGTTTTTTTTATTTTCAGCCATTTTAGTTAACATTGATTTGTCCATCTGTCTCGCGAAATCCTCTTTTGGACCATTTGCTTAAAACCTCTGTTGATAGGATTCCAGATTCAAGTTATTTTTGTTCAACATCAATACAAAAAACTCCCCTATGACTCCTGGTTCAAAAGCTTGCCTGATTTCAAAATGGTCGCCATTTTTGTCTCGCGAAATTCAATTTTGGCCCATTTCCTAGCTTTACAAATAATTTCAGGTGTCTTGCATTGCAAAAAGCAATGTCACTGTAAAGAGTAGTTGTATGAAATAATTTTGTTACAAATTATTGGCAAAAAATTATATCTGTTTTTTTTTTCAGCCATTTTAATTGACTGAGAGACAGATGGCTTGAAATAATTTTGTAACAAAAAATCAGCAAAAAATGTGACCATGTGAGCCCAGTACCCACGGTACTAATTTTTTTTTGTATGACATATTTAGTGTAATTCTCAAGCTTCTGATAAGCAAGGCTCAAATGATTATCTGCCTCTTTTAGAGATGTGAAATTAGACTCATTACAAAGGGTACTTTATTGCTTCCCATAGTAACAGCACCATCTATTCATCTTGGCAGGTGACAGTTCACTTCCTGTTGAATTAAATAGAGAGAACTGCCTACTGTTTTTAATATGATTAATTAATTTAAGTTTTCAAATATATAGATTTGCATCTTTATAACCTTCTGTTTTGTATATGATTATGTTGACCAGCTGTTATCATACTTCTGCAATCAGCTTATATATTTGAGCTTACCCTTTGCATTCATTGGACTTGGCTTCTCAAAAAGAGCTTCATATTCACTTTTTCAGTTTTCAATAAATCTCTCCGAGCTAATCAGAGTTCATCGTGGGAATAAGGACGACTTTCTATGTATGGTCATTTTCTCTGATGTAATCGAATAATTATTGTGTACGCTTTTAGCACGTGTTCCTTCAGCTCGCTGATTGGTTGAGAGTATAGCATTGTATTTAAAAGGTGTAGGTGAAGAAAATCAAGATAATGTTATTGAAATATCCATTTTAAACTTCCTACTCCGTTACTCATATTTTCCGCATTTTAATGCCAGAATGGTGCAACCAATATATCTCACTTTTGATATGTTTGCTTAAATTACAAATGGGCTTTATATATCTGATAGTAAAGTAGTTTTAATGTAATATATCTAATTATGTATGTCTTACTTTCAGAGGGACTAGCAGTAGGGGTCGGCTTTGGTGCTGTTGGAAAAACTGCATCAGCTACTTTTGAAAATGCTAGGTGAGCAATCGCAATACAAAGACCTTTCTCCATTTTTCATAAAAAATTAATTCAGTTCTCCAGACCCCCACCCAACCCATTTGAGGAGGTGAAGTATGTATGGGGGGGGGGGGTTAGGATAACAAAGACTTAAAGATAATGTCCCTCTCAAATCAGGTTGTTGTAAAAAGATACTTTCGTAGTTATCTTATAAAATATATATCTTTTATTTCAATTTATTAAGTAATTTTGAATTAATTACTGTAATAAACAAAAGCTTATTAATGTAATTTAGAAATGATATGATGTATAGCTAGATGTTATGTGTTACATTTTTTGTTAAATGCATTTGTCCTTCATCTTTTCTATTAAATGTTACTTGTATCACAAACTCTCATTTGCTTGTTTATAGTCACATGATGTAAAATCAAAGTACTGCTGTATTGCACATATAATAATGTTATGTCATCATTTATTTATGTTTGACCACACTGGAACACAAGACCACACTGTTTATTACTGTAAAACTGTTTTTGAAACATATTTTAATGTGTGGCCTGAAGAATGTGCCAGTGGACAGAATGTTCTCTATAGTTTGCTTTATTATCCCATCGAACGAAGTTCGGAGGGATATAGGGAACGCCTCCGTCCGTCCGTCCGTCCGTCCGTCCGTCCGTCCGGGCAATTACTCAAATACCGTTGGCCCGATTTTGTTCATATTTTGTACACATATACCCTATGGAGATAGAAGTTCTGCTCGAAAGCCGATTTTCAAAATGGCTGCTCATTTCAAAATGGCGGCCATTTTAGTGCCGATTTTACAGTAATTTAGGTGCAATATGTAAAACTGTAATAGCAATATGTTTTAAATGTAAAAAAATTATAAAGGACATTAATAATGCTACAAATGTAGATATTAAAGAAGCGCATGGCAGCCATCTTGAAAAATGGCGGCCTTTACTCGTCATTTTACGATTTTTGCTGTAACTCAAAAAATAGTGGAGCGATTTTGTTCATATTTGGTATGTGAATACTATAAGCATTGCACACTGTCTAAAGACATTTTTGGTAGAAGGCGGCCATTTTTCAAAATGGCCGCCATTTTAACGTTTTTTACTATAACTCGAAAAGTAGTGGAGCGATTTTGTTCATATTTGGTATGTAAATACTATAAGCATGGCACACTGTCCTATGACATTTTTGTGAGAAGGCGGCCATTTTGAAAATTTTTTTGAAAAATGGCCCCCATTTTAACGTATTTTACTATAACTCGAAAAGTAGTGGAGCGATTTTGTTCATATTTGGTATGTGAATACTATAAGCATGGCACACTGTCCTATGACACTTTTGGTAGAAGGTGGCCATTTTGAAAAAAATTTTGAAAAATGGCCACCATTTTAACGTATTTTACTAGAACTCGAAAAGTAGTGGAGCGATTTTGTTCATATTTGATATGTGAATACTAAGCATGGCACATTGTCTAATAAAACTTTGGGGAGTAGTCGGCCATTTTGAAAAATGGCCACCATTTTTATGTGTGTTATTTTAAAAGTACGTGTGCGATTTTTCAAAAATTTTAGAGGTGGCTTCTTAAAAGCATATTATTTCTTCTGATGACACCTTGGCAAGTGAGCAACCATTTTGAAAATGGTGGCCTTTCTGGTGTGTTGTTTTATGATATTTGCTATTCATTTGTAAAAATGCCAGCTATCTCTGTTCGATGGGATTCGCTACGCTTTGGCGTTGCCGTTGTTCTGGTTTTCATCAATGTCAGTCACTATCTTTGTATTTATGACGTCTGCCTAGCATTTACTTCTGCTGTAGTATCTGTACTGCCTGTTGTAGCGGTTGCGTCCAAAGCATTTTGCGGCATTTTCATCACACTTACACCAACGATAATTGCATGATCCATAACTGTCTCCTGGAAATGAGAGTTGATATAAGTTTCATTGTATCAGATTTTACACAAAATTATTAGAGACCAGTAACCAGTAAGTTTTTTTAAAACCTAAAAATGTAAAAACATGTCACGCACGTGTCAACACCAGCACAATATCAATCAAATTGAATGAATGATAGCTTTGCTTAAATGTAAAAAGAAATCCTGTTAGACATCGGTAATTTTGAAAAATGATTAAAATTCACTGTTACTCACTGCATCTATTATTATAATGTTTGTATGTGACAAAACCACCATAGTCATTACATGTCTTCTTCGTAGTCTCGATACATCGATCATCGACATTAATAATGCTACAAATGTAGATATTAAAGAAGCGCATGGCAGCCATCTTGAAAAATGGCGGCCTTTACTCGTCATTTTACGATTTTTGCTGTAACTCAAAAAATAGTGGAGCGATTTTGTTCATATTTGGTATGTGAATACTATAAGCATTGCACACTGTCTAAAGACATTTTTGGTAGAAGGCGGCCATTTTTCAAAATGGCCGCCATTTTAACGTTTTTTACTATAACTCGAAAAGTAGTGGAGCGATTTTGTTCATATTTGGTATGTAAATACTATAAGCATGGCACACTGTCCTATGACATTTTTGTGAGAAGGCGGCCATTTTGAAAATTTTTTTGAAAAATGGCCCCCATTTTAACGTATTTTACTATAACTCGAAAAGTAGTGGAGCGATTTTGTTCATATTTGGTATGTGAATACTATAAGCATGGCACACTGTCCTATGACACTTTTGGTAGAAGGTGGCCATTTTGAAAAAAATTTTGAAAAATGGCCACCATTTTAACGTATTTTACTAGAACTCGAAAAGTAGTGGAGCGATTTTGTTCATATTTGATATGTGAATACTAAGCATGGCACATTGTCTAATAAAACTTTGGGGAGTAGTCGGCCATTTTGAAAAATGGCCACCATTTTTATGTGTGTTATTTTAAAAGTACGTGTGCGATTTTTCAAAAATTTTAGAGGTGGCTTCTTAAAAGCATATTATTTCTTCTGATGACACCTTGGCAAGTGAGCAACCATTTTGAAAATGGTGGCCTTTCTGGTGTGTTGTTTTATGATATTTGCTATTCATTTGTAAAAATGCCAGCTATCTCTGTTCGATGGGATTCGCTACGCTTTGGCGTTGCCGTTGTTCTGGTTTTCATCAATGTCAGTCACTATCTTTGTATTTATGACGTCTGCCTAGCATTTACTTCTGCTGTAGTATCTGTACTGCCTGTTGTAGCGGTTGCGTCCAAAGCATTTTGCGGCATTTTCATCACACTTACACCAACGATAATTGCATGATCCATAACTGTCTCCTGGAAATGAGAGTTGATATAAGTTTCATTGTATCAGATTTTACACAAAATTATTAGAGACCAGTAACCAGTAAGTTTTTTTAAAACCTAAAAATGTAAAAACATGTCACGCACGTGTCAACACCAGCACAATATCAATCAAATTGAATGAATGATAGCTTTGCTTAAATGTAAAAAGAAATCCTGTTAGACATCGGTAATTTTGAAAAATGATTAAAATTCACTGTTACTCACTGCATCTATTATTATAATGTTTGTATGTGACAAAACCACCATAGTCATTACATGTCTTCTTCGTAGTCTCGATACATCGATCATGAGATCGGCAGCACATATCTATTCTATCTACAACTTTCCCTCCAGTTCTTGTTCCACACCAGCAGCCATATCCGAAGAAATCTGTGCACCATCGGCCGCTTGTATAGTGACTTATCATACCACAGAATTGGGCATAGTTAGCATTTGTTTCAGCACCCAAAAGGACCCCTATCAGGAGCACTAGTAATATTGCCTGAATCAGATAGAATGTATAATTTTGCCATTATTGATTTCAAACAAGTGATAAAAAAGTGACACATTTTTAGACCAACCTGTTTTCACAGAAAATTAAATATTTCTTACAATATTTCATGAGTAGAATTATAAATAAAGATATTTTATAAACTGAGAACTGTATTACCAACCTAAAAATTAAATCAATATTAAAATATAATTACCTTCATCGTGTTTAATCTTGTTATCAGAAACTTTACAGTAGCTTTGTTTTCTTAAATTATCTTATGATTTTGGGCTTATAACAGAGGATATTTATACTGCTTGTATTTGTCAATAAAATACTTGAAAAAAATTAATTGGACATCAACAAAACTCTTGAGGAAAATTTATTCTTCAACTCAAGATTTTATGTGCTACTTTTATCTGTTTGGATAATTGTGTTTTTGTGTTTTTTATGTTCTTTTAATTTGATTATTAAAGGCTGCATGTAAGGTTTAAACCACATTGGCTTATATTGTTGTAATCTTAGCTTAAACATTGTTTTCGAAGGATTTTCTATTCAATAAATTAACATCTGCTCAAGAAGGGATTTTTAAGATGGCTTTTGAATTCAAAATGGCAATCATTATCCCAACGAACGAAGTTCGGTAGGGATATAGTGAAGCTCTCCGTCCGTCCGTCAGTCCGTCAGTCAGTCAGTCAGTCCGTCCGTCCGTCCGTCCGTCCGTAAGGTAACTCAAGTATTAGTAGACGGATTTTCTTCATATTTGGTGGAAAGATGTATATTGATGAAAAGTTTTACGCAAAAAAAACCAAACCAAACCAAAGTAATTAATATTATTGTTTGAAATTTTGGTAGTATATTTGCAACTTGCAACATCTATCTATTTCACATATATTCTGTGTTTTTCATCCTGACCCCCAGGGGCCATGTATGGGGGGTCAGGAAAACAGAAATTTTCGCTAATTTTTAGATCTTTCTGAAGTATAGCTTTATTATACTCAAATGAAAGGCAATTAAGAGTAGATTGCAAATATTGTATCTTTTTTCTGATTTGAGCCTCGTAAAATTCAAAATGGCCGTCTAATGTACGATTTCGCAATAATTTTTCGATCCCTTCAACGTATGGCTATATAATACTCAAATTGAAGGAACTTTGGAGTAGATCACAATTATGGTATTATTTTTCAGATTTGTACCTCAGAAAATTCAAAATGGCTGCTTTGCAGGAATTCGCAATTCTAAAATCTAA